CATGTCATAATGGATTTTTATTTGTGGTTGGATAAGTACCACTTTGGTTACTGTAAATCGCTCTCTAATTCCAAATGTGTTAGTATACGGATAAATCGTCAAAGAGTCAGAAAGAATCTAATAAAACATCTGAGTTCATAATCCAGTTTGGAGTTGGGTAGTCAACAGGCGTACACCCATACGCTATGTCCTCACGATCACTCCCCCTCCTCACTCCTCGTCCTCTCTCCTCTCCTCTTTCCTCTCCCTTCTCCTCCTCCCTCGTCCTCCTTTCCGTCTTCCCCTCCTCTCCTCTCTCCTCTCGTCTCCTCTCCTCCTCCTCTCCTCCCTCCCCTCCTCTCCTCGTCCTTCAGACACCAGTCCATAAATTTGGTGTTAAGGTGTGCGCATTAATTTACAGATACAAAGTCGAAAATCAGGAATTTTTTGAGAGCTACATTCTGTGTTAATTGCACTCTCCTGTGTGACCACTGTTAAACGACAAGCCAAGGGACACTTCATGCACTTTAATTCCTAGAATAAGATGACTGTAAGCGTTACCAAGTATGAAAAGATGGCTTCATTAGTAAATTATTAACCTGTTTCAAATATTTGAACTAACAATTCATATATAAGAGAATTATAAGTATGTCTAGCTCTAGTGTGCCAGTATCCTCAAGAGGGGATCGTCAGCACATCGTTCTATATGCTGAGTCATGTTCATTGTTGTCATTGTACTAGTTACCTGTGACACAGAGACTCCCAACGCATAATGGCAGCAACAGTAGGACCTGACACACACGAGCGTGAGGTAGCCATGAGGATAGACAACTCGACTCTCAACAACTTCGCAGCTCATGGTTCTGACTATAGCGTGCGCCGTTGCGTTTACCATATAATCGATATACAGAGCAAAGAGTGTTCAAAATTGGACTGATGATTTTTGTCAAACTATGACAGGCAGTCACCAAGTTCCAACGGTATTAAGCTATGTATTGCAAACTGGGAAAACTAACCTGGCCTGGTGCTCCCAGGCTATTATAGATGTCGAATGAGGAGACTTGGTTTTCCCTCATTGGCTAGCTGTTATCTATTGCAACGCGTGCCTTAGAGAGAGCTTATCAGATAGATGAGATTAAAGTGACAAAAGTTTGTTTATGAGTTATGTCGCATGATTAGTATCGCTGCATTGCCAGTATATCTTGCTTACATCGCAGATTACGTCTTTAAAATTTGTGTTCATTTATATCTTATTGCACAGTAACGCGTGGCCATAAGCGCAGCAGTGCTGCCTGAAGTACCTCCTAGTCTGCTGTCTGCCAGCACCTCCCTCCTTACTTCACTATTCTTCATTTTACCTTGCTTTGATAGACCAATGCCTTCCGAATGGCATAACATACAAACACATTGTAGCTCCACCTGTCATTTGCTACTACCTGTTATTACACTACTTGACTATACTGATAATATCACACTCTATACAGTTTAAAATAATTTAGTTGCTCTGTTTCACTCAATTTGACTTTCTGTTCATAAAATTCACTTTTTGGTTATTCCCCTTCAAAGCTGAGATATTCCCACCACTATATTTTGTCATGAACTTAAAGAGCCGGGTTGCTGACAGTTGGTCTTTGGTTGAGGCCAACTCCCTGTTACCTCTCTCTACAACACTGCGTGGCGCCCCACCTACTCGGCGTCTGCTCCTTTTCTAACAGGCATTACAACAGTGTCAATGCATCTGTGGTTTTATATTGTTTAATGCAGTTTATACCATTTGTTTGATTCAGCATCTCACAAAACAGACATTCACATTTGCCTCGAATGGACAAGGAGACAAATGTTTCAGAAGGGCAAGCGACCTGACAATACCTGGTAATGACTGACAAAGAATGATTTTTGTGCCATTCCTGAGTCCGCATCTAAAACAGCAGGAATCTGCACCGTGGACATTAAGTAGAGTTTTGATTTGTGTTCTGGTGAGTTGTTCTGTATTTGTATTTTCATGTACAGAATGAAACTCTGATGTTTGAGAATGATAAAGTGATTTGTGCTAAAATTAAAGGTCCAGTGTGTAACATTTAGAGGCTCTATTGGCCAGGAAATGAATATAATATGTCATTAGGTTATTTTAACATGGCTTTAGAAGGGGCTTTGTTTTTTCATGCGAGTTGCTGGCCACCGTAGTTTCTCCTACACAGACGAAGGCTGCAAATGGTTGCATATCTGCAATTTCAACACCTAGATGCCCCGTTAAACCCTGCACACATGTCCTTTCCACTTTTCTTGGTAAGTTAATATTTTGAAAGTGACAAATTTCATAGTCTCATTGTGCTGCTCCTGATCGACACAAGAAAACCTGTCTGTATGCAAGAAAGCATAAAAGTTTCCCTCCATGCCGTTCTGACCCCTCTGCGTCTCTACAGCGTTTATTTTGCTAATGGTGGCACTTACAGTGACCAGGCATTTACTGACTCTTTAGAATATGATTAAATTTTGCACTCATAAAAGAGAAATAGCATCGTACGACAATAAAAAGCTGTTTGGCTTAAGTATCAGGGTTGCAATGAAAGCTTTGTTGGAGGGAAACGTGTTCCATTGGCTGGTTAGACTTTTATAGAGCTATTTCCTAAAATATTTACTGTCAGTGACCTCGTTTTACATTTGTGTAAAAGCTCCTATTTAGCTAGAAAAAAACGTCCTGTGTAGAAGATTTCTGTCAGGCAACAAAGCCAATTGCCCTCCTCCGCTCTTCTCCCCCCTCTCTCCCTCCCTCCTCCTCCCTCCTCCTCTCAAGTGTCCTGACAAGCAAGACGAGATGGAGACACAGCATCTCTCCTGCAGGGAGGATGCTGCCATCCTCACCTCAGTTAGTGGAGTTTTTTCACTCATTAGTTTGCTAATTTGGAGCTCTCACAGGTAAAAAGACAGGTGAGGGGAAGAGCCACCAGCGTTTTCACTCTCTGCCTGTGCTCAGCCATCCTGAAATGTTTGCATGCTTCAGGTGTGTTGACTGTTGTGACACTCACTTTCTCACCCTCTTTCATTGTGCCTCTGTCCTTGTTTCCTCTCTCCTTCAGTCCAGTTTTTGCAGGCGTGACATTGAGAGCCTGACACACTAGCAGCCAGTTCATCCTTCAGGCTATAAAAGGCCTTTTTAGTGTATCTCTTCTTTCCACCTGCAGTGTTTGGGACAGTTTTGTTCATCCCAGTTGAACAGCTGTCAGAAGACGGTCAAAGGTTTTGACTGATACACCTCTCTGTTGTTGTGGGTGGTAGAGAATTACAGGAGGGAGGAAACATGGATGCCAAGTGGTGTTGCTCTGTGTAAGCTGCTGCAGCACAAAGTAAAGAAGACAGCGGTGCACATTTGTACTGTGTGCTCTTAACAGCAGCATGTAGTTCCCAATAGCTGGGTAAAGATTTTAATAGAATTATTTCATATGTTTGTGTGTTTGCAGCCTTTCCTGATCTCAGAGAACATGTGGCCTCGCGGTTGTGTCCTGGACTGCCAGAGGGGGCGCAATAGAGCTGTGTGTGGTAGCAACGGCAGGCTGTATAAATCGCTGTGTGCCTTCCAGAGGGCACAATGCATCAACACACAGCTCCGCCTCGTCCCGCGAGCACACTGCTCAGGTACACTCCTTCACAGCTACATCATCACAACCTGTTGATGATGCTTCCCACGTCGCTCATACGTTAACTGACTGCAGCTCCCTCAAGACAATGTGGATGTAGTACTATTTTGCATAAAACTATAACATGCATGCAAAACTAGACACAATATATAAGGACACAACAGATGAAACCCAATGAAGCTAAACAAAACTTATTATATGTAACTTATTTCTTTAATGAGCCTGCCCATAATAAGAGGAGACTTAAAGAGTAAATATAACCAGACTGCTTCTAGTGGTCTGCCTCCTTGTACAGCACCTCACAATGCACCAACACAACGCTGATCACTGATGTGTAGTCACAAGTACAAAAGACAAGCATGTGGATGCTAATGTCTTGATTTCCCTTTTGTTTTAGATCCTAGTCAGTCCAAATGCCAGCTGGCCCGGACTCAGGCCCTGGAGCCCAGTGCTCACAACAGTGGAAGCCATGTTAGCCTAGCTGCTGCTGTCTTTGTGCCAGAGTGCCACCCGGACGGTCACTTCCTGCCAGTGCAGTGCCACAGCCAGACCGGATACTGCTGGTGCTCCACGCCTGATGGCAAACCTGTCAGCGGCACCTCAGTCCTCCATCTGACTCCCAACTGCACTGGTCAGATAGACTTTATTCAGAGTTACACAAATGTGTGAACAATTAAAGGAAAATCTGCCTTCGTCAAAGATTCTCAAAGTGCCTGTGGAGAATCTGTTTCTACACTCACTTTTTCCCTTTAATTTGTCACCTGTGTTTATGTGGTGCATCTTAAAAATCAATATCATCTGTGCTGCCTTTATACCATATAATGAAGAGATTAAGTGTTTGCTCAGGTTGTGTTAACTGAGGAGGATTAACACACGGTATAGAAAGTGATTTTCACATTTTGTACTGTTTTCATTGGTAGTCTTAGGATCCTCTTGTCATAGAAAAACCTGTACACCTGTAAAGGATATAAAGTCCCTTTGGTGTTGATAATTAATCCTCAGAATTAATGGGTTTATGGATTATTAATATTATAATTCTACCTTTATTTATCATATAACTAACTACTTTTTGCTCAGTATAACCAGTCTCCGGCTGCTGTTTAAGAAGATTTTGAACAAATATTTGAGGCCACATTTATTTACTACCACATTTAGAATTAATGAAATCTGCATGGAAGTTCGCTTATTTTCCACACTGAGGAGTTTTTAAAATATTTTCCAAAACAGATCACATCACCAAATTGGCTCAGATTATGGATGCAGATTCAGCTCCAATCCAAGGTGAGAAAGATGTTTCACTCCAAATTCCCAGGCAGCATTGCTCTCTGCATTCACATTTTATATATCTACCTGAATATATACTCATGCTATACATTCACTGTAAAGTTACTTCTGTATGGTTCTCATTTAAAGTTTTTTCTGGGTTTTCCTGGCATGACACTAGTTGTATCCCTGCCAGACACACCTAAAGGAACCGCTCCACATGCCAGGACTCCAAAAATGAGAATTTTCACTCCATTCTCCCCTGATTCTTCACACGCTTTCCTCCTCAGTTTCCTCCCTCATTCTGGTTATTTTCACTCTCTTTTCTTTTGTTCCAGATGGAGTTGGTGAACCGGAGCCTACACTGAACCCCAGAAAACCTGCAGGTGACAAACTGAACCTTCTCCGATAAGGATCCTGTGTTGTACACATTTACATAAAAACCATCAGACCGTGCCCGCACTGAATACACATTATCCACTTACCAATAAACCACTTTCATCCAAGCTATGTAAAACTCCCACCAGCTACTCCAAACTCAACAGCCAAAACAAATACTTGCCAAGCCAATTCCCTACTCGAAATGTACAGCTGTACACACAGTTTTTTCTTTAAATTTCCAGTAACCTAGGTCTTTAACCTAGCTTTAGGGGATTTCAAAGCACCTATTATCAATATTTTTAAAATAACAAAGTACCAAATGACAATATAAGCTTTATGACACAATGTCACTGTTTTGGTTCACTCTCACTGCTCTCGTAACACCGTCTTTGGCTGCAGCAGACAGCTATTTTCAGTGCAAAAGCTCACTCTACACTACCCGCATAGCATCAGACAACAGACAGACACAGTTAGAGACTACCTGGTGGACACAGTAGAGCATTTAGCAGCTAAAGAGAAAGACTTTTCCCTCAGAAGTTGGTGGAGACCAAAACAGAGCACAAAA